TCCCTTCCACCCCAAAAGGTACGCCAACTAATGATTGCTGATGTTTAATGCCTGGCACTGCTATTTCCTTTCTTTTTAATTGAAAATCGGTGCTTTAGAGAAACTGCTTTCATGTTTGTGTATTTCTGATTTAAATATGCTTGCTCTGCTTAAGCTCTGCATTTTTAAAAGGAATAAATCTAAGCTACAGTTCTTAAAAAAAAAAAAAAGGAAATGGTATTAGGAAACAATTCAGTGGCTCTTAGTGCCTGAGGGGCCATAGGATAATGTGGATTTCCAGAACTGGGAACTGGAACTCCAACCCCCTCCCCCCCACCCAAACAGGTGTCTGAAGAACTGCTGGCTGCTCTCCAAGGTTGGGAACATGCTCTCAGAAAAGGGGGAAAGGGCTGGGTGGGTGGTGGGGAGGGGAGGGGAGGAGACTAAGGATGCCAGAATACAAATTATTCCGATGCCTCTCAGCTCTCTTTCCTTCCTGGATGCAATAAAGTAAGGGAGGCTAGTGGCCATTGTGACTGGTGTGTCGGAAGGCAACTTACCCAAGATGTAGCCGGGAAAAGTAGAATCGAGGCTTCACAAGAGGGGGAGCAGTGTTCGAATCCCCAGCAATCAGCATCTTATACCACAGAAGGAGAAAGTGAAGCGCAAAACATGCCAAGGGGAGTAGAGAAACCACAGCTATATAAAGTACTTCTTTGGACACATACTTCCCTGTTCCAGCAACAACTGCCATTCTGGAGAAGATCAAGTCACTCTGAGATGAAGAATGGGAACCATAATAATGATGATGCTGACAATAATTAAAATAAGATGTGCTATTCTCAGAGCCAAACTGTAAAGCATCCTTTGGAACACAGGAAGAAGTTCTCAAAGCATCCAAAGACCCATGTATTTGACATCTGTCATGAAGCTTTCACCAGAGTAGGCCTACACAGAAGCAGAACAGTATAAAGTTCCAGATCATGCATATCACATCAGAATTAAAGACTAGATTGTTTGGAGAAAAGCATGGGCATCCCTTTGCCTGTGATCAAAAATGGCCCAAAGAGTTGCAAGAGGCAAAGGTTTAGTTGCTATATCTGACCCATAAAACTCCACCAGAAGTCCTTGCTTGAGCCCACAGTATCTTGCTCCATTAGCAGCAAACCAGTGCACAGCATCCAAAACATACCTCACACAAGCACCCTCACCATTTTAATGCGAATGTAAGGATTCATACACGTATTTAAAAAGCACTTATTTGGACACACATTCTCATGTTCTGGTAACAACTTTTATTGCACACTGGGTCCAATACCTTCAAGATCATGAGTGCAAAATATTGGAGAATCTACACAGCTACACAGGTGGTAGTGATGGTGATATCCTCAGAGCCACACAGAAAAGTACTCTTAAGAACCTAGGACCAAAGAACTGCAAAACGGGGCACAGAGAAGCAGCAGAGGAGGAGGGGGAGGAAGACATCATCCCAGAGCCACTCACAAAAGCACCTGAGACTGGATCCAGGCCACAGGAAAGCAAGCACCTCAGAAAACACACACACTTCCTTTTTTGCTCTTCAGATAAATCAAGAAATCAAGGTTAATGCCATACTTCTCACTCACATACCATGCATTCTAACTATGGTTTTCCCTACTGTTCTGCAAATACACATGCCTCCGTTCAGACTGATTCCATAGCAATTCAGGAGAGGAAGGGTTGGGATCCCCACCCAACCATTGTGCCACTCTCTGAGATACCACTCCATTATGGGCTGGGGGAGATGGTTGAAAAAAGACAGAAAGATGTACATGGCTGCACAGCCTTGTGGTGGGGACTTGGAAGGGACTTATGAGACCATTGAGTCCAACCCCCTGCTCCACTTCCACATGTGGTCACCCATCCAGCTGCAGGCTTAGCAAAGTTGACTCAACATGTGAGGTTGATTTACACAAGGGGGGTCTTTTTGTTTTATTTTTACCAGGAGTAGAAGATGAAGACTCAAATTGGTTTACACACCTATTGGACTGGAAGCTTGCCACACTGTCCATTCTGGTGTCAAAAGAGAGGGTGCTCTGTCCAGGAAGGCAGAAAGAGCTCCATGTATGCTTATAAGCTGCAGAGGGCAATCATACTCTTTAGAAATAATCTGTGCATGGGCAAATGCTACTTATATGCAGTTTATAAACTGAAGCTAGCTCATGAGCTTGGTAGGAGCCAGGATCCTGATGCTGTGCTAGTCCATAAAATAATAAGATAATATCAATGTTATCTTTGCTTTTTTTCAAACATGACTCCTGTGTGGGCTTCGGTCCCCTTGCTCTTTTGGCAAAAAGGTTCATCTAGTGAAAAACCTAGATCTGGAGGATGGGGAGGCCACCCCACCTCTCACTCTGATTTGGATGGCTGGAGGCCTCCATGTTTGGAGCATACAAGCATTTTGATAGGATTGCACGCTTAGGATAATATTTCTTTTGAAAGGGGGCTTTGTACAGCTATGAAGTTTAATGGAATACTTGTACCAATTGATGCACATTATCCAAAGGTATTCTTTATATCCTGGGGGAAGGAAGAACATATAAAAAAGCAGTTGCATTGCTTTATGAGATATGGTTTAAGGTATTTATGGACTGATCCTCTGCCTAGAGGACTAAAGCATTCTTTGGTGTCTGAACCCTGGCACTGGGAAGTTGCTCCAGTGCTGGATCTGGGACTTGTGCTCATAGCATTCTCCCCTCACCCCTTTGGCCAGTGCAGAAAGAACCTCCCATACCTGGAGTAACAGCGATGCATGACAATCCCAACTGTAGCCTGAGGCGGGAAAGTCCAACAGTAGTACTTCAAGGTAGTTTAGAAAAAGAAGCAGCAGCAACAATACAATAGAACATTATTGAAATAACAGTATATTGAAACACCAAGGAAATACACTGTGCCAGAAAAAGATAATGTTGGTCTCAGGAGAACTTCTTTGACAAAGGAGTTCTGTAAATGGGGCATCTAAACTAACGAGACAGTTTTCTTAGGTAACAACCCACCTTACCTCATTTGGTAGAAAGCACTTGCAGCCGGACCTCAGAAGATCAACTCAATGTGCAGTCAGATTTATGGAAAACCAAATTTTCCTTTAGTGAAGTAGAATGGTTGCTTATAATTAATTCTCCTGTATCTTCCTAGAGCCTGTTTTTCTCACATTTTCAGGCCCTAAACCTGCTGTCCTAACCAGACAGCTGAGAATTAGGCAAATAATCTAAACTATCAAGGAAACCTTGGGCTTAAAGATGGCAACAAATACTACCGATTACCAAATGGTAATCTTGGGCTAGGGTAATGTAGTTTTTAATTAATCTGTGCCAATAGGTTTCCCTTAAAATAAGTCTTGATCACCTAATAAGGCTGCAATACTGTACACACAGGTATAATTAATGAGGTTTACATCTGAGTAGACATGTGTATGCTAATGGTACAGTCGTACTGTAGCAGACTGGAATGTACACTGCCCAGAGAGCAATAATTTCGGCTATAGGTTGCAGTCTATAAAGTTAAAGAAAAGAAACAAAGAAAAAGTAAATAAAATACTGTAAATTAATTGTAGTGAATGGGAATAATGTGAATGGCTATTTCTGTTAAGTTAAACATGAGCAAAATACATCACTATACTCATATGTGTATATTCGGTGGGGCTTGTGTAGCAAAACTCTATGCTGAATTGTGCCCCATCAGATTCTTCTCACTCACATTGAGCCATCTGGAGAAAAAAGACAGGACTCATTTGGTGGGTTCATAGCTGTTGTTGGTTCATTGGCAAGTGCTAGCACTCATAATTCATCAAGTGATAACTTACTGTTGGTTTGTGCTCAGATTTGGCTTTTTCCTCAGTTAAATTACTTGCTGTAACCCTGATCAAGTGGCAGAATCACTAGATCCTGAATATGCCCGTGTATAATGAATTGCATATCTTTGCTTGAATAGAATGAAGGGAAATAATGTTAAAAATAGTGAGCAGATTATTTTGTGAATGAGAAATACAGTGTGCATTTCATCACTTGGTGCTTGCTGCTTTTTTTAGTTTTAAAGGGTTGGATGCTCAAAGCTGTGCTTAAGTGGGACAGTTCTGGCGTGTTGCGTTTCAGTTAGTACATTAAAAAGGAAAAAGAAAGGAAGTGCAGTGATACAGTAGCCAAAGGAGAGATTACTTCTGTTCCTCACCATCTGGTTTGCCACCCCCTGAAGCTGTAGACTCTAGCCTTGACACTTGGTCCACTATACCACATGTGCTGATTGTAAGCGCATTGAATGCACTAGCTTGTGAAAGACTAGCACCCAGTGAAGATTTTGTGCTCCTATGTTTCGGAAAATACAGCATTGCCTCACCAGTCCAAAGGCCATTGAAACTCAAGAACTAAATCTGTGACTTGATTGCACTGCAAATTCTTTAGCTGGAGCTGTAATGAAACAGTAAAGAATGTTTGTCCTAGAATCATAGAGTTGGGAGGCAGTTTGAAGATCATTGATGCCAGTCTCCTGCTCAGTGTGGGCTCTGCAGTGCAGGATACAGCCATGCTATCCCTGACAGGTGTCCTAATAATCTTGAGAATCTTATGATTTACCTGGTTTATCTAAAGGAAGATAACTTAAGTTGAGAGTCTCTGACAAAAGGACATCATTTGTGTGCCCATATTAGGAAGGAGAAGTGGGATTAATTTTTAAAAATAGTTAAGAGAATATTAGTTTAGAGTCATAGCGGACGAAAAGTGACCCTCTGCCATTCTTTTGTATGTACTCTTACACTTTTTGGCTGATTAGAAGTCCTGTATGAATAGCTTTGTATGGTAATAGCTCTGTTGTCCTTTATGAATAGCTTTGTATGGTAAGTAAAGTCATCTAACATTATTGAAAGAGTTGGACGAATTCTAGTTGGTAGTAGCAGAGCACTCAATCTTCAGTGTTTAATATGGTAGCTGCATAATTACAATGCTTATTGATCAGCTTCTGCTGTGCCTCTTCTCCCCCACTCTTTCCAGATTAACATTCAAGATGTCCTTTGTGAGAGATATGGAGCTGGAACATTTTGATGAGCGTGATAAAGCACAGCGATACAGCCGAGGGTCACGGGTGAATGGCCTGCCCAGCCCGACCCACAGTGCCCATTGCAGCTTCTATCGAACCCGCACTCTGCAGACCCTCAGCTCTGAGAAGAAAGCCAAGAAAGTCCGTTTCTATCGCAATGGGGATCGATATTTCAAAGGGATTGTATATGCCATCTCTCCTGATCGGTTTAGATCTTTTGAGGCCCTGCTGGCTGATCTGACCCGAACACTCTCTGATAACGTCAACCTGCCCCAGGGTGTGAGAACAATCTATACTATTGATGGAACAAGGAAGATTACCACCTTAGACCAACTGGTGGAAGGTCAGTATTGAGCTAAGTGGGGCCTCTGACAATGTTGAAGTGTGGAGGACCATCTTCAGGGTTCCAGCCAGCCATGCCCTCTTTCATGCCATTCCATTCTGTTTCTCCCAACCTGACTTTTCATGCTTTTCCCCAAAACCTAATCCATAGGAGTTCCATGTACTGACTATACGTAGTGCTCATTGCCTGAATTTTGGGTCCTCTGCATATTGTGTGAGAAGTACAAAAAATCTTCAAACAAACAAACAAACAAACAAACAAACTGGAGTTTTCCTAAGCTTGGTGATACCTGTTTTTCTGGGCTGGTGGTATTATTTTGGTTGCAAAGTAACAGCAATCATGTATGAACACCAGAAAGAGAGAGGATTATACAATTGTAAAAGATCCTACATCTCTTCCTTTTGTCTTTCTCTCTCTCTGTATTTGCACTCATATATTTCCAGTTTGTCAGTGTATTAATCAATGTACAGAGTGCTCTTCAGAACAAGCAAAAACAAGTCCTTGAACAAAATAAAAGTTACAATTTAAAACATTGGCACCATGGATGCTGTAATGGAAGGCAAGATCAACAAGGGATGGATGGGAAAAAGTACAGTTATTAATAGTATTCCATAGGGATCCAGTCCTGTTGCTCATACTTAGGCTATAGTACTACATGCATTAGAGGAGCTGGTTGACTGTGCCGTGCATATACTGTTTCTTCCCAAGAAGCTCTCTGAGTGGCTATAAATTGCTGCATGTAGTATCTTGCACAGCTGTGGATTGAATGGAAATGTCATAGCTCAGCATGGCTTTTTCCTCTTGCAAGAACCCAAGGCAGCTTACATTATCCTCTTCCTCTTCCATTTTGTCCTCAGCACAACCCTGTGAGGTAGGTTGATCTGAGAGTTTGTGCCTGATGCAATGTCCCCTGTGAGCTTTATGGCCAAATGGGGACTGGAACCCGGACTGCTTGGGTCCTGGTCCTCTGTCACAGTGGCTCTCAGTTTACTGGCCTTTCATGACATTCAAGCTTTGCTTTCTGAGGTGACCACCTCACATGGCCTCATGGTTGGATGGAGCTGATGGAGAGGCAAATGCATGTTAATCTTTCTGTCTGGGGGCAGTGCAGAGCATGCTGATCTTGCTAATCTAGGCTGGCAAGGACTGATGTGGAGATGGGATATTTGGTATGCATTGTGGTTGTCTGGTGTACTGATTGAGCCATTATCCATAGATTATTTTATCTGGAAGTGCTCTAAAATAGCTTTTTATTGGTTTGGATACACTGTCTACCTGAAACAGTGCCTTGGCTCTCACACAGTCTGCACAAATGTGGAGGATATTCATGGATTAGAGCCTTTGACTGCAATCTGAAGTGCGCTTATGAGAATCATTCCACTGAACTTCTGTAGACATTTGTAGACTTTCACTGCTTGTCTGTTTGTATGCATCATGACTGGGTACTTAAATTTCAGATTTATCAATAGTTGAACCTGGTGTGCATTCTCTTAAAGACGTATTCTTTAATGTTTATGTAATTTTCTTCTTAAACATGGAATAGCATCCATTGATGGATCTCCTTTACAGAGAAACTCCCAGTTTTGTATTTAAATTTTATTAATCTTACTGTTCATTCAATGTCTTTATGCTCTGTGTCAGTACATTTTTGCTCTTCCCAACTTTTTGCCTCTTAAAAACAACCTTTACCATTAAAAAAACCTCTTATGTGATTTTTATTATTTAATGACTATATATGTCACCCTTTAATAGGTATTTCCAGGGTACTTGAGGAAGTGCATAGATTTTCCAGAGATTCAAATGTTAAATTGTTCCTTGGAGCCATGACTTGGATTTTTCTTTCAAGGCAGTTGATCAGGCAGATGAATCTGTGTGAATGACACCACTGGTCCCTTTTCCTTGGAGAGCAGCAAAGCCTCAGCCATTGGCACAGCTGCATCGCTGCTCTGCATGCTTTGGCTAATTGACCAATAAAGCTAGCTTGGGGCAAGGAGAGGATTTCATCTGAATGCTGCTGCTCCAGGATTTGAAGTAGATAATGCTGCTGCAGTGCTGAATTGCAGAAGGATTTGACAGAGTGTCATTATCTTTCTCCAGGACTGTTTGCTGTGAGTCTATGTGCAGCTTCATATTGAATCAGGCTATTTTTCTGTCTGACTTGGTATTGTCTTTCCTGACAGTTAGTGGTCCTCCATGGATTTGGTCATTGCCTTTATCTAGTTCTGCTGCATGAAATTCTTAATCTAGGCAAGAACAGGAGCTTCTGCATTCCAAGTATAGTATACCACTGAGCCTTGACCACTCATCAGGACATTTCAATTCTTCTTTTTTTCCTGGAGAAATTGCATACATAGTTCTGAAATGTTATGTATAATTTTAGCAGCCTGGATTATCTCCTGGCCAAGGGCAGAAAAGAATAGAATAGGAGCAGATATGGCTGAAGGGCAGAGTAGCAGGTGAAGAATGGAAGCCATGAAGGAAGGATCAAGTTTGCTTCTTTATGCTCTACTTTTACTCCACAGAATTTGTAACATCTTGCCTGTTGCTTGCAGACAAGCTTGCAGCCAGCTTGAGTTCAGGATTAGATCAACTCGCCTTCAGTGAGAGAACAGCATCCTTTGATAGCTTATGCCAAATCCTTGGCAGATACCAGTGGGGTTCAAACAACATGGCCAGCCATGGTGATTTTTTTACCATTGTTGGTCTGTCATGTTATCTTAATGGGGGTTGGGGAAACCCTAGCAGAATCTGTTCCTTTAGCATTCACAGACTTCCTCTTGTGCTTGGCCCAGTCTTGCAGAGCAAGCTGAGCCAAAAGCAAGTCCATGAACACTTGCAAAATGAAGGTTGAACAACCAGCAACCATCTTCTGCATCAAGTGCAATGGTGCAAACAGTGTGTTCATGAGGCATGGAAGAAGGACATTGTTAGCATTCATGCAGAGCTCTATTCCTGGCATACCCTGCATGATCAGCCTTCCTTCACTTCACATGCAACAGTTCAAACAGCTGCTGCAGGCAGTGCAGAAAAGGGATGCTGCTTGTGCAGGGCAGGGGGCTCAGTTTTTGAGAATCACCCTGCACACTTACCAGAGACTGGCGTCTGGGAAGCCAAGCCCAGGGAATCCAACAGATTCCCATTCATGATCAGATTCCTTACACATGCCTAGCCTGAACCCATTGGTGAAATTTCACCATAATCAGTTTGGTCCTTAGAAACCACAATAAGGAGCAATGGTTTGCTCTGTAGTTCCTCTGTACCACCACAGCTGCTGTCTGAACCCAGGATCATATTTTCCATGGTCCTGGTATACAGAATTCCCTGGAAAAAGCAACAACTCTGGGAGCCACTCCAACATCTGTGTGTTGACCGGTGAGGAAGAGGCAAGCAACACAGGCAAGGAGTGAAGCATTGGGATTGAATTTCAAATGCACTGGCTGAAGGCATACATGCCAGCAGTGAGAGGGCTGAATAGGGAAGGATGGAAACCATGAAAGCATAGAAGCCACTTGATTGCCTCTTATGTAGAGCATGGTTAAAAAAGAAAGAAAAGAACTGTCACCCATGGTAACCACAAAGGGTTGCTTGCCATGTTGTGTGAGCCCAGCCACTCTGTTCATTCTTTATGAACACTCTCTGAGGGTTAGAAACCTGTTTGGAAGTGGAGGTACTTAGGAAGTTTCATTCCACCTCATTATTAAGACACTGACCAGGCGCGCACATTGCAATACACCACAGTCTCTTAATTCACCAACAGGGCTTATCATCATATACCAACTGATATTTTAAAAATGTAAGTGAGGAGGCATGCCGTGGCTTGTTATGAAATGCAAACCCAGTGAGGATGGGTTGTTGACATGGTTAACAAAACACCCATAACCCTAAAACCACACATAAATTAATGACATGAAAATAGCCCAAGATTTTAACTTTGTATTGAAGTGTGCACTGGCACTACCACTGCAGAGCAGTGATGCCAAGATGTTGCTTGGTCAGACTTAGGCTTCTCTTCTTATGTGTGGGTCAACTTTCAAAGACCCTTTTTCGACGGAGGTAACATACAGGTTGCACATATATTGTGTGTTTTGTGGGAAAAGTACAGTACTTTGCTTGTAGGGGAAGAAATATGCTGACTGCAGTCAAGTGCCAAATATTATTGAGTTGTCTGCGACCAGCAGCTGACAGTATCTTTGTAAACAACTCCATAGGTTTCACAGGGAATGTCCTGAAGGCACATAATGCATCAACCATGTTGAGGCTAAGCAGGTCTGAGTCTGGACAGTGCTTGGATGGAAAACAGCTCGGGAACCTCATGGGTTCGCCATATGCTTAGTGATGAAAGAATGGTAGGATATAAGTGTAACAGAGAAAGGTGTGTTGTGAATATGGTAATTTAATGGAAAAACAAAAATATCCCATCACTTTGGGAAACAGCTGAATACATCAGAAGGCAAGACTGCTAAAAGGCTAAGGAAATACTCTGGACATGACATAATTCTACTGGTAAAGCTAGACTAGCCCGATCCTTTAGGCTGCCTGGATGGATAAAGGCCACCTGAAATCACACAGAAGCCACTCTGCATGTCTTAGAAGAACTTCTCTGGAAGTAAGTCCCACTGAACTCAATAGGATTTCTTAGTGAGCATGTATAGGATTGCACTGCAAAGGTGGTAGTCTAACCTTTAGACTCTGGGAGCATTTAACAAAAAGGGAGAGATGCTTATGCTTAGTTTCAGAAAGTATATATGTATAGCCAAAGAACTGTGAAATATAGAAAGGTGTGTTAAGTTCATAATAGGGAATTAAAATATGAAAGTCTGACCCACACCTTTTGGACAAGAAAAATAGAAAATCCACTTGGATTGGAGCAATCTTATAATTAAAGTAGAATAAACTAAATATTTTTACACTGACAGTATTTGCTTCAATTTTATGTTTAAACACTTGAGCCTTTACTACAGATCTGTCAGGAGGAATCGATAACCCCAAAACAGTGTTGA